CATCTATTTTTTTTAAATCAGACCTCGGCATAGAGCTGGTCCTTGGTTATTAAGAGGGGTTTAATTTAATATATATATAATTGTATCATAATTTGATTAATTTCATATTATGTTAAAAATAAATTAAAATTAATATTTTTTATATTTAAATATAAAACTGTGGTATCATAATATCTTGTTATATTTATTGTTAGCTTTTTTTATTACTTTATAAAAAGGTAAAATATATTTCTAGTCTCTATAAAATATTTTAAAGTTTGGTCTTAGTCTCTAAAAAAATATTATCTTATTTTAAAGTTTGGTTTTAGCCTATAAAATGTTTCAAAGTTTGGTTTAAGTCTCTAAAAAATATTGTTTTATTTTGGTTCTTCTAATTTAGAGATGTATCATTTTATTCTTCAAAATTATTTATATATCATTTTGTTATAATAAAAAAAATAATATAGAAGTAAACTAAATGAAAAATATACTGTACCTTTTTAAGATTTGTTAAAAAAATTTAACGTAATAAATTATTTTTTTATTATTAAAAGTTTAATATATCATTTCAACAGTAGTCTTTTTAAGAATCTATAATTAAACATCTAAACTAAAAAGAAAATTGTAATTGAGTCGTTTAATTTTTTGTATTATTATACTTTAGTCTATAAGATTAGAATTTTGTTTATAATATTGTGAACCATGACAGAATATTTTTTATATTGTACATACACAGTATTAGATTATTATTCTATGTAACATATTTTAATCTATTTGTAAAAATTATTATAATCTCTTAATCATAAAAATATAGAATAATAAAAAAATTTAATAGGTAAAGATAAAAATCTAATATACATGAATGATGACATGAAATAATAATATAATATAATTATCCAAGTATGATGATATAAATAATATTATGTTGAATCTCATAAATAATAAATGAAAGTTTTAAACTTCAAAGACTAAATTATAAAAATATAAATAGATGTGTAATTATAATTTTTTTAATTTAAAGATTTAACTAAAAATTTTCTGAGAAAATTGAAAGATATATTAAACTTTAATTAATTATATATATTAATTATGTTATAAATATTTTATATAAAAAATCATATTTATTATTTTGGTAGAGTCTATAGATAATAGTGTTCTTGCGCAAGAAGCTCTTAATTTCATCCAACGTGATGCTTCGATTATTAGGTCTTTAGCTTTAAAGATTGATCTAGAAAACGCATATGATCGTGTAAGTTGGAAGTTTCTCCGAGCTACATTGGACCACTTTGGATTTCTTGATCGAATCAGCAACCTGATCATGTGGAGTGTCTCTAATACTTCTCTTTCGATCCTCTGGAATGGGGGTAGGCTCCCATCTTTCACGCCATCACGTGGATTGCACCAAGGCTATCCTTTATCCCCCTATTTGTTTATTTTATGCATGGAGCGACTAGCTCTACCGGTGAATGAGTTAACAAATGAAGGTAGCTGGAAACCAATTCATTTATCAAAAAGAGGCCCACCTCTTTCCCACCTTCTTTCTGCAGATGATGTGATTTTGTTTTGTGAAGCTTCAGAGTTGCAAGCCCATGTGATGACCTCAACTCTTGAAGAGTTGTTTGGCATTTGGGATGAAGGTGAATCTAGATAAGTCAAAGTTTGTCATTTCCAAAGGCGTCTCTAGCTCTCGGGTTGAAGACATTTCACATATACTGGGAATTGAGCATTCGACTAGGATAAAGAGTTATCTTGGGGTACCTATGCTTCAAGGGAAGACCAAAATTGCTGACTTTAATCAATTGTTGGATAGAGTCAATAATCGGGTAGCTTCTTGGAAAAACAAACTCTTGAATAAGGCTGGGCGTTTGTGTTTAATAAAATCAACTCTCACTTCCATACCAATTTACATTATGCAATCTCTTTGGATTCCACAGGCTATTTGTGATAGGATTAATCAAGCCTGTCGTCGGATGTTATGGGCCAAACCAGGAGCTTCTTACTACTTGTCTCTGGTTGGGTGGAATACGATTTCAAAACCTCTAGAGATGGGAGTTCTAGGATTACGAGAGGCTCGAAATATGAATATCTCGCTCCTTGGGAAGGTGATCTGGGATCTCATCCACTCCCACTACAAACCTTGGGTTAGTTTTGTTCGTTCCAAATATTTGAATGGTGAGTCAGTTCTCCATGCAAGCAATAAATCAGGCGCTTCGCCAGTTTGGAGGAGTATAGTCAAGGCACTTCCTTTCATCCATGAGGGGTTTCGTCCAAAGTTTGGGTCTGGTCACTCATCGTTGTGGTTTGACGACTGGTCTAGAATGGGTAAACTCGGAGCTCAGGTTCCAGTGATCCACATCAGTGATTCTACTGCTACAGTGGCAGATTGTTGGCAACTTGGAACATGGGATTTTGGCTTCCTTCACACTACTATCCCAAATGAGTGGTTGATGTCTTTTCAACAACTTGATATACCTTCGTCTAGAGTTGGGGTAGACTCATTCACTTGGACGGGAGACCCTTCGGGATGTTATTCAGCTGCATCGGGATTTAGATTTCTTAGTGCAGAGGGCACCAGATTGAACAATCCTATTTGGAAAAAAGTGTGGCGGCTACACATTCCGGAAAAAGTAAAATTTTTTCTCTGGCTAGGATTGTATTCAGCCTTACCTACGTACATGTTTCGCTGCTCGAGATGGCTGGGGGAGACTGACCTTTGTGCTCGTTGTTCAGGTGGGCAAGAGACAATCCTTCATGCACTTCGAGATTGCCCACATTCCCGTGAAATCTGGTTTTGGTTGAAAAATACTCCACCTCATCTATTCACCAGCTCCGAGAGCGTTGTATGGTTCAAAGACATCATTATGCATTCTGAGACTGTCAAGTTGGCCATGGCCAGTTGGTGGATATGGAGGTATAGAAACAATATGTTTTTTCAAGGTCCGCGTTGGTCAATACTTTTGGTGCTAAGGAAAGTGCATGTTTCCCTTGTTGAATTGAATTGGTGGCTTAATTCTAGGAAAACATGGTTGAAAAACACATGCTGGTCCCCACCAGATTATCCAGGGATTAAAGTAAATATTGATGATAGCTGGTTGGAGGGTCATAATAGGATGGGGTTTGGAGGGGTTATTCGAGATAGCGTAGGGAGATGGCTGGGTGGTTTTGCCAGTTCAGAAATAAGGGGTGATCCTTTACGAGCTGAACTTTTGGTTATAAAGGAAGGATTATCTTTTTGTTGGAATTTTGGTTACAAACAAGTGGTATGCGAGGCTAATTGTATTGATGCGATATCTGCGATTGAACGCACTATTTGGGAGAGGAATCTTGTTCATAAACATAGAGATATAATCAATAATATCAAAGATTTGGTGGAGAAAGATTGACAAGTTATATTTACTGGGATCCCGAGAAAGATTAATCAAGTAGCTCATGTTCTTGCAAGTTGGGGAGCTAGATTAAGGACTCAACATGTAACATGGAGGATTCCTCCAAATTTTGTGTTTCAAGTGTACGGGGAGGATCTCTGTTTCCTACACTAATTTTATTTCTTTCTTGTTTTTTTTCCTTTATTTTTTTCACAACGCCAAAAAAAAAAAAGACAGACACTGGACTTCAGTAGCAGTGACATCTGATAATGCTTATCCCTTGGTGAATGATGATTGATACTTTTAATGGGCTCAAAAATTCAAACCCAAAGCGATGAGCATAAAGCATCTAATCATTCTAAGGTAATGACCCAAATTATGTTAAATCCAATCCTTCACCTTAATTGCTAATAAGAGTTTTAGGGACACTAACTAAATAATTTTAATTTATTTTAACGAATAATTTTGTAGATTCCTATACTTTTATACTGTGGTTAGTTGTGATGAATAAATAAGAAATATGATGAAAATAAAGTTGTTTGATTTGAGAGAAATAAATAAAAAAATAATAATAATAAAAGATAAATAATATTATAATATTATAAAGAGGAAATCAATTATAATTAAAAGAGAGATTATAATCTTACCTTTATGTTACATACAAAAATACAACCAAATAAATATAAAGCAGAATGATTGTTTATTCAAATACAACCACATTCTCATACATACATTCAAATAAAATACCAACATAGATGAACCCATTTGAATAATAAACAAATCTCATTCGAATAAAGCAAACCATTTGAGAATATATTTGAATAACAAAACAATGAATTCGAACAAAAGGACCCCGTATTCAAATATCACGTAACCCATTCGAATAGAATACAAATCATTTGAATAAAATGTTCGGCCATTCAAAGTATTTGAATACCATGTAACTCATATCCGAATGGAACACACATCATTCGAATAAAATGTTCAACCATCTAAATAAAGTGAGTTCATTTGAATACAATATCCAACCAGTGGAATAAAACACTGAATTCGAATATCATTCTTTCTTATCTTTGATATATTCATGCGAGAGAGTTTTTGAGAGATAAAAGTGTAAAATATTAAAATAACTTTATTCTGTCCTCTTTATTTCCACTCAGTTTTAAACAAACCACCAAAACTATTTTTGTACTTATATTTCTTTGCTCTCTCCTCTATTTATTGTGTTTCTATTGTAACAAATAGTGTTAAAAGAGTGTTTAGCTAAGTTTTTATAGTTAAAAATACTTTTAAAAAAATTATGTTAGCTTAAAAAGTTTGTTATGAGATATTTACACTCTAACATTGTTAATTTATATATAATTTAATTATGTTAGCATATATATGACTTTATGAACAGAACAGGAAGAATGGAGGATGTAATTCCATAAGGATGATAGATTGAAAAGATAATACATAACATAATAATGATGAAGAGATGGTGTAATGCTGTTTCTCTTTATCACATTGACAGAGAGAGAAAGACGTGCCGTGATAAGGTGGGACTGCAGGAGTCACATAGTACAGGAAACCCATGAAAGTGTACAACACCCGATTCCCACAAAATATATATAAAATCTCAAATAAATAATATATTATATAGACATGAATGTTTGTGTGTGCGTGTGTGAATGAATATGTGACCCAAAATCCACAGCTGTAAATGCATGTCGGTTAGTGGGAACTTGTCCCTTACACAGTGTGGCGTTTTGCTGTTTCTGCTTCTCTTCGTCTTTCATATCATCTACTTTGCCTTCTCATGCTTCTTCTTTTCAACAATTATTATACGATCCTTAGTAGGGGCTCGCAAACCCAAGGACAAGTCTTTCCCTTTTTGCACCTCTGCATTTCTCTCATTTGTCTTTCCACGTTCCATCACCTCAAACCACATTAACAAATCTCACCAAAATATTGCTTCCTATGGTGCCATTCAGTTACCCATCTTCACTGTAATTAGAACCTATTAATTGCATATTCACTTGCTTCAGTTCTCTTTCATTCCATCATTACCTTTCCACGCTTGAAAAAGTTTCATACTCTCTAGTTCTCATTAAAATATGGGCCTTGATCACCATCTCATTTGTGGTCAAAGACTTGGACTCCTTTGCATTTGTCTTTGGTTTTTGATTATTTCAAGCTGGGTACAGAAAGGGTTGGTTATTGAAGGTAAATGAGCAATTTTTAAAGCTGCTAATGCTACCAAGTTGAAACCAATTCCAACCAACATTGACATCCTCTCTATGTTTTAACAGGTAGAAAGACTCAAAAACTTAGTGATTTTCACCAGGTAAAATTTGCTTCCCTGTAGAACATCCATGATTTGCATTAAGACATAATCTTTACCTGGAATCATGATTATTTGTGCAGACAGTAAGTGAGGATAAAACTATACTGAGGCCACGAATAGGGTCAAGGCCACCAAAATGTGAGAGAAGGTGTAGGTCATGTGGGCACTGTGAGGCAATTCAGGTACCCACAAACCCCCAAGCCCAGAACAGAAAGAAAAACTCTTCTAAGTTTTCTGCACTTGCATATGCCAGAGTAGGTGGCAGTTCCAACTACAAGCCCATGAGTTGGAAGTGCAAATGTGGGAACCTCATTTTCAACCCATGAATCTGATTGTACCACAATTAGTTTTTTTATATAATCAAGGATATCAATTTGTCAATTTTGTACATGATTGATTATACACTCTAGTGATTCTTTCTTTTTATTTTTTTGGAGCCGTTAAAGTTCTTTTATCAAAATTTATTCTGTACTTATTTCATAGTCCAAGATGCTATCCTTCGTAACTTTTATATTATGTTATCAATCACATATGCTAATCCTTACCCAACATGCTATTTTTAGAGCTTGTGTTTTGTTATAAACGTTTAACATATCTTATGCAGCTTTAACTCCATTGCATGGTTTACCTTTTCAGTAATTATTCATCTTATCGACTTGCAAAGAACAATAAATATGGTTGCGTTATTCTGTTAATTATTTTCAACATCTTGGATACTTTTGAAATGCAAATGGGGACGAGTGATAATTTCTCTCATTTTCATTTCTTAGTCTGAATACAAAATATGTGAACGGAAACAATATAACATCTTGAGAAACTGCCAACATAGAAGTGATGATGAGTGATGACAAGTCTTCTTAGAATAAAGGAGGAATTAGATATTTTAAGTTGAAATTTTGAAAAAAGATTTTACCTAATATGTCCCCGCCAGGCTTAACTAACGCCATGACCATGTGATTGAAGTCTACAATATCAGCAAGCAAGGACGGAGCCAAGGGGGGACCTACGGGTGCCACGGCCCCCCAATAATTTTAATTTTTTTTTATATACATATATATTACTATATGGCACCCCCTATTTTTAATATAAACTCATATTTTTAATATAAACTCATATGTATATTACTATATGGCACCCCTATATGGCACCCCCAATATTGAAATCCTGGCTCCGTCCATGAATATCAGTACACTAATTTGAAAATCCAATGCCATGCCCTGCTGTACTTTGTTTTTAGTTTTGTATTTCTGATTGAAAAATTTTGTTATCAGTACTTTCTGAAAGCAGCCACCCTCTGCATTGTGTAATCAGAGGAAGCAACAGATAAGAAATTGACGTGCTAACCTTTTATTGTTCTCTTGATTTTCGTCTTTTATACATTCCTTCCCAAACGTGAAAGAGATTGAATTTTTACTCGTTACTACTCACTAGTTGTCCTGACCTAATATTTAGTTGCTTTCATTTTCATCTGCAGTGTCACATGCCCTTCATTTAAAATGGATAATGTATAATATATGTATTTAACTTGTAGATGACCACTACCCTGCATGAAGAATTTTAGAACATATATAAGATAAACTGTTTTTCTTTTCTTTTGAATATGACGCAGATGAAATATCTCTTCGTTGAATTGTAATTTTTACAAGTTAGCACTCTCTTGTAAGGTTAATCAATGGGTGAGAAAGCTTGATTATAACTTTATAAGATAAGCCACTTTATACTGTAATGTGATTCACTTAAACAAAAATCTCCTATATCCCATTTTTCAATTCTAACCTTAGAAACTTATTATTTTTTATATAAATGTTTTACCAATATAATGCCAGTATGTAAGGAATGGTCATATAGCAACATAGGATAGCTTAGGCACCTGATCACAAATCAATGAAGGGAAGGATAGGATCTCCTGAAATCAAACATAAGACAAGTGATATTGAAGAATGGCACTAGAAATTAGCCTGCAGCATTAGCTAGTGAAGGTCTGAGTGCGTTAATGATGGTTATTATTGAAACTAAAGCCAAGGTATGTCTTATGACAAGACGACAAGGAGTCAGATGATGTAATACAGTTACCATTGTTGATTGTTGCATTAAAAAAGAATGCAGGAAATTAAGTAAGGTAAAGTTCAGAGGTTTCCCATTTCACATATTTGGAATTATTATAATTAGAAATGTTTGAAAATAAATTAAAGATGATGAAAAAAGGTAGATTGGATACTGCACTGTCCCGTCTTTCCTAGTTCTCAGATTTAATATATTTTCTTTTTCTGCAGACATGACTACACGATAGCAGTTTAGAATACTCGTAACTCGCAAGTCGTATGTACGAAATCTGCTCTCGTTTTTATTTTTCTTAAAAGAATACAAATTATTAATTTTTAATAATTAATAAAGATAAAGATAGGTAGATAGTCAGGTTAATAACCGGATCGATTTGCGTCACCCTTTATTCAATTTTCATCATTCATAAATTTACAAATTTTTACATCGTCACTCAAAAATATTCAAATCATATATTTATACTATATATAAAAATATATTCTTTTTAATAATTGCTTTTTTATTTTATTTTTATATGTTTCTTATTTATATTAGTAGAGTCGAGGCACTTCGTGTCTCTTTTAAAAATAAAATAAAAATAAAAATTAAATA